GCCTCTCTTAAGTTTTGTATTTGAAGATCAAATTTTCTGTTAAAGTCTGATCTTTTCATCAAGAAGGTTTGGAAGTCCCCTATTTCTCTGAATGTCCATCTCCTCCCCTGAAATATTATGCTCGATTTTGCTGGGTAGTTGATCTTTGGTTGTAATCCAATCTTCTTTGCCTTCTGGAATATCATATTTTAAGCCCTCTGATCCTTTAATGTTGAAGCTGCTATGTCTTGTGTAATCCTGAGTATGATATTTAAATTGTTTCTTTCTGGCTGCTTGCAGTATTTTCTCCTTGACCTGATACAATATTCCTTGGTATTTTTATTTTGGGATCTCTTTCAGGAGGTGAACAGTAGATTCTTTCAATGAATATTTTGCTGTCTGGCTCTAGGAAATCAGGGCAGTTTTCCTTAATAATGTCTTGAAAGATGCTGAACAGGCTCTTTTTTTTTTTTTAATCATGGCTTTCAGGTAGACCAATAATTCTTAAATTATATCTCCTGGATCTGTTTTCCAGTTCAGTTGTTTTTCCAATGAGGTATTTTACATTTTTTCTATTTTTTTCATTCTTTTGATTTTGTTTGACTGATTCTTGATGTCTCATAGAGTCATTAGCTTCTACTTGCTCAATTCTAATTTTTAATCAATTGTTTTCTTCAGTTAGATTTTGTAATTCCCTTTTCATTTGGTCAATTCTACTTTTTAGATTATCCTTTTTTTTTTTGGTGTGGCAATTGGGGTTAAGTGACTTGCCCAGAGTCACACAGCTGGTAAGTCTTATGTGTCTGAGGCCAGATTTGAATTCAGGTCCTCCTGACTTCAGGGCCAGTGCTCTATCCAGTGCGCCACCTACCTGCCCTGCCAATTCTACTTTTTAGTGAGTTCTTCTGTTCAGTGGATTTTTGTATCTACTTTTTTCCATTCAACCAGTTGTATTTTTTGAGTTATTTTCTTCACTCAATTTTTGTCCTTCCTTTCCAAGCTGTTGACTTTCTCCTATATACCTCTCATTTCTTTTCCCAACTTTACTTCTACTTCTCTTGTTTGACTTTTTAGATCCTTCTTGAGTTTTCCAGGGAGGCTTTTTGGGCTTGGGACCAATTCATATTTCCCTTTGAGGTTTCAGATGTAGGTATATTGACAATGTTGTCCTATTCTGATTTTGTGTTTTGATCTTCCCTGTTGCCATACTGGTCAGTGGTCTTTTCTGCTTCTTGCTCATCATGTTTCCCTATTTCCTGGCTTTTAAAGTTGAGCTCTCCTGCTGGAGCACAGAGAGCACTGTTGCAAATTTCTTATACTGGGGGCCATAGGCCTGTTCACTGCCTTGTATGCTGGGGCCTCAGGTGCTGGCAGCTTATCTGATGCTTAGCTGGGATCCTAGTGGTGGCATCTGGCATTTGCTGAAGCCAGGTTGGGTTTTTCTGTGTTTCCCTGGGTTGAGCTGAGCATGAGCATTTCTGCTTGCCTTGGGCTACACCGAAGCAGGAAGAAATCTGCTGCTAGAGGCCATCTGCCTGCTCTGGGCTGCACTATATGTCTGTGGTTCTCCTTGCTGGAGTCTGCCAGTTCCCCTGGCTATGGTAAGGCATGAGGGGGTCTTGGTGTTTGCCTTCTCCACCACCCTGGGGCTCAAGATCTCTGCTGGTTTGCTGAGGTGGGGCTTGCTGTAGGCTTGCTGGGACACTTCCTGTCCTGGAGCGCACTTCCTTTTTACCTTAGTGAAACACATCTTTTTTGCTGATCCTTCAAATTTCCCAGACGAAGAGAGTGCTCCACCTTGTCTTTCTGCTGGCTCCATTGTTCCAGGATTTTTCCTTGGGAGCTTTCTGGTTTTTTGAGAGGTCAAAAAGGGAGAGTGATAGTGACTTACTGCTTACTCTGCCATCCAGGCTCCCAGAAGTTGTTAATGACCATTCTTGATCACAAAAGTTTCTCCACATTCTCTGTAAACTTTCACCATTAAACTTTCTTCCCACTTGATCTCACTGTATAACTTATTTAGAAACTGTTTACATTTTTGTTTTCATTTTGCCTTTTCATGTATTTCAGTATTTGACTAATCTCTTGGGCTAGATGTATGATAGAAAATAGTACTGGAAAAAGTTGTAATATGAAGATGGAATTTTTTTTTTCCCCTGAGTTTAGGGAAGGAAAAACAAAAAACAAAAACACCACAGTTCAAAATTCAGTCTTGCTTTTTCCTTATTTTTGTAGTATCTCCAAAGACCTCAACATAGTTATTTCAATCTCCATTCATTCTGTGGTAGGTAAAAATTATAACAGTATCTAAAATAGTGCTACCAGTGACTTTTGGCACCTTCTCTACAACTTATAGTGTCGGGGAGTTGCCTAGAGTACTGAGAGGCAAAGTGACTTATACCTAGGTCTTTTTGGTTCTGAGGCCAGCCCTCTATTCACTGTGCTATGCTGCCTTTCTATTTTCTCTCTCTCTCTCTCTCTCTCTGTCTCTCTCGTGTAGATTTTTTTATTTATACACAATCTCCTGTGTTTTCCTCCCTTCCATTGCACACGTTTTTAAAGTTCATTTCCTCAATTTCTCAATTGCCTTTTGAAAAAAAATCTTTAAATATTTTTAAATGTACAAAAAATTCCTGTCAACACACTTCACCTTGTTAATGGATATTCCTGATTCTGATTCATGGACTCTACTCTGTTTTCATATGTTTCCTTTCTTAGTCAATACATCATTGTCAGCCAGTGGAAGATGCTCTTGATGTTACTGTGTAATCTGTTATTTTCTTTTCCTTCTTTAGCATTTACCTTGTCAGTACAAGATTTGAGGACCTTCTTCCCACTCCAACCTCACTACCACCTACGTGCTCTGTTCCAACTCCCTGGAAGCAAAACATTACTGACAATAGTCATAAAACTATGCAAACTGAGTCAGTGAAAAATTGTTGCTTCATACCTTTGTCAGGGTCTTCGGTAGGGCTGGAAATTCCATTTAGTTTTCATTTATGAACACATTTTCACAGTATTATGTGTAGTGACTATTCCAAAACCTAACTTTCCTGAGGGACCCAGTGTTAAGCCATGTCTTATTCTCTGCAGATTACCTTTCCTCAAGTCCTGCTCTCAACATTTAAACCAAGTACCAAGCAGTGACAATCACTGTGCTTAGTTCTGGGGATGCAAAGAAAAAGGAAAAAGAGTCGCTACTTTAATGAAGCTTATTAATTTTTTTTTATATTTTCATCCTTTTCCTCTTCTATCCCAAAGCTTTCTCCCTTATTCCTTTACCCTTGATTTTAGCCCATTTCTTCCTGCCTTTTCTGAGATTTTGTTCCATTATTAAGCCCTCAAATTCTTACATTTCAATTCTCTCAATTACCCTTTCCCTTCCATCTACACCCCTATGATGGACAACTTCCCTGACTCTAATATTCACCTTACCAACTTTTCATTCTCATTCTTTTATCTTAGGAAGAATATTTTTACATTTATTACCTCTATTATAATAATGTCAATATATATATATAATATATATATGTCAATAGTTATAATAATAACTATTATTATTTATTTTTTACCATATAGTTGTAAAATAGTGTGCCTTTAATATGTGAGAAGTTTATATGCTGAAAGGGTCAAAAAAGTATATATATATATATATATATATTTTAAAGTATCAATTTTATTTGGGTACAGACACTTGCATCATGGGAGTCATTGCTGGTAGTAGTTGGGAGAAGGGGAAGGGGAGATAGAGAGCAAGATGATAAGTGAGGACTTTGATTGGGAGGGGTACCCCTGAGCTTCCACTCCCCTACCACATCTGAGCTCAATCATGACAATAAGGGTCTTACGTTATCTGAGATGAATGATAGAAAGTTCAGGCAGGGACACAGAAGCACCCACCTATACCAGATACCCTCTACTATTCATATCCCATCACTATTAACTGTCCAGAGGCTAAGGTCAGGCTGAAGTTGGAAAAGACATCAAACCATGGGCTGAAAGAGGCTTTTAATTATTTTGAAACCCAATATTCAAAGAACACAAAATGTCTTTTCATGTGATGTGCTCCCTAGGACCCAGGACTATGTTGGTTGTGATAGTAACAGAATCACACATGAGGACACACACAGTCACAGAAACGTGGATATGCCAGACTCATAGAATTAGACCCTCTTAGACATTCCAGTATGGTCATGCATTTATAACAGATAAACTTGTGTCATAATCACAATCTGAGACACAAACACAATCACTTAAACTGTAGACACACATTCACAAGTGACTCCTTAGCCTTTGTTCTCCCCAGGACAGAGTGTGGGTTGGGAGTCAATGTGAATCTACCCCTCCTGGATCCTGCAAAGTATTAGGTGAATTCTAAAGCTGGAGAGTACTCAGATTCTGGTATCGCCATCTGCATCTCAGTCTTCACTTCTTGTACATCTTGCGGTTGCTCTTCTTTATTGGAGAGAAAAACTCTCTCCAGACAGTCAAGGGAACACAAACAAACACATGTACACACTTTTTTCTAATGGGAAGGAGGGGGTGGGATGTCCCTATGGGAATTTCCTTTTCTGCCACATTGCCCCTCCAACCTTGACTTTGTAGAGAAAACCCAGGGATGCCAGGAACTGAGTAAATAAATTCTAACCCATAATGCTACACCCCTTCCCCCCTTTCCAGTATGGGACAAGGTCCTGAGAGCTCACATTGGCTACTTTTTTGTTCCTCTGTAGCAGCCTGGTAGATACTCTCCTCTACCATTTCCCTTAATGACTATGTGTCATCCTCAATCTTTAGGATTTGATGGGAGGAGGGGACATATGCCTTTTCAGTACAAGAGAAAGGTAAGCTCCAGTTGTTAAGTTCTAGGGGATATTGGAGGTACATCCCTGAGAGCAGAGATGATGGGGGAGGATTAGGGAGGACAGAAGAGGTATCACAAGCTGAGATGCAGCAGAATCAGTGGCAGGAAGCTAGAGGTGGAGTAGGAGCGGAGAATATTGGGATGGACCCCACTCTCCTCAGAGTCCCTTGTTGAAGTAAACGACCTCAGTGTTTGGGCTATGTTCCTTGATCTGAGCTCTGAGCTCTGGCTCTAGGTATTTCACTAGAATGGAACTCCTTTGGGGAAAAATTGCACAACACAGAGGAGTGGCAAACAACTGAAGAAAGCCAACCATCCCCATCTGCACAGGGCATGAGAGCCATGGTCTTCTCTTCAAGAAGTCTTTTTTCTCTAATTCAGTCATAAGTAGAGGGGGTATGGTCAGAGAAGGGAAAGCCATGACGATCCGGGATATCACCACCTGGAAGATGCCCTTCTGAGCTGCCTTTGAAGAGTAACCTAACTTATGGCCAGAATCATCAGTCACAGGGATTCCCATTCGGATCTCCCTCTCCCGCATCAGTGGGACATTGATGCAGTTGGCAGCACATACAGCTGTTAATGGCATGAAGCAGGCAACCAGGCTGGGTAGATGTTTGGTGAGGGCTCTGAATCCCACAGCAGTGACCACAGCTCCAGTGGTAGCACTCATGTAAGCTACTCCCAATTGCTTTTCAGTAACTGTTACATTTCCATTTCTATTGGAGTAGTTGACAATAGCATTGAAGGACTGGTTCACCCACTGCCAGAACACCACAGATGCAAAGTTCCTATGGAAAGTGAGCATAAAGCCACAGATGATCATATTCATGGGTGCTTGGGCTGACATTCGGCCAATGAGATAGATCTTCTGGTCAGTGTCAGGGTGGAAGGCCGAGTCATATCTATACTTGGCCCTCCATAGTTCATCTTCAGTCAGCCCAGGGGTCACAATCCCTGCCTTGTAGTTCTTCACAATGGTTTGGGCCTTATGCAGTTCCTGATCAGATAGTAGAAGGTTCAAGGGGTTGGTGATGGTGAAAAAATGCTTAGCTCGGCCCATAAAAGTGTTCTGGTCCCATCGAGGATCATGGATGTTGATGTCCAGAGGCAGCTCACCTGTCTTCCGACCAGGCCAACGTGGCCATGATATAACCATGGCTTTGGATGGAGTCCTGCTCCTTCAGAGCTCCTTCAGCCTGGACCTGACACTTGAAGGAAGCCAGAGTAGATGAACAGAAATTCCTTGGCAGTTAAGCTTAGAACCTTTTCAACTTGTGAGCCTCAAACCTAGGACATCTGCCCAGTCTTTGAGCCTGGAACACTCTTAGGAAGGGAGGAAGGCAGGCAGGCTAAAAAAATACTTTTGAAAAAATAATCTAAGTCGACTTTAGAAGAATTCAAGGTAATGCCTTTTTCATAGGTGAACACTTTGGTGGCTGGAAGGGGCAGAAAAAGAACTATTTAATGAGAACTATTAAAATTTATATGTAAATAAACATTTAAGAATGTATTTTATTTTGCCAAGTAAAATTATTTCATGGGGGTAAACAATAAACATGGAAGTACCTTATTTATATCTTTTAGTGTGACCATCACAGTATGATCTATTATAGAGAATCATTTGTGGAAGTTTACCTCTTTCCTTCTAATATTTCCTTTGAAGAGATCTTCAATGCACATGATGAATCAATCTCATAAAGAGTTTATAAAGATTAAAAAGTAGGCATGTGAGTAGTTATTGATGTTTGCCTCAGTTACCTTTTTTTTCCAGCTTTTAAAAAATTTTTTTAACATGTATCTTTAAAACTTTGGGTTACAAATTTTCTCCCTTCCTCCCTCCCCACCCACCCTCATTGAAAAGGCAAGCATCTCAATGCAGGTTATGGATGTGTAGTCAAGCAAAACACTTCCATAGTAATGCTGTTGTGAAAAACTAAGTATATTTCCCTTCATCCTGTCCTACCCCCCATTTATTCTATTCTCTGTCCCTCCTCAGAAGTGTTTGCTTTTGATTATCCATTTCCCCAATCTGCCCTGCCCTCTATCAAACCCCCTGATCTCTTGTCTCCTTCCCCCTCTTATTTTCGTGTAGGGTAAGATAGATTTCCATACCCCATTATGTATATTATTCCCTCCTTAAGCCAAATCCTATGAGAATAAGATTCACTCATTCCCTCTCACCTTCCCTCGTTCCCCTCCACTGTAAAAGCCTTTTCTTGTCTGTTTCATGTGAGATATTTTACCTCATTCTATTTCTCCCTTTCTCCTTCTCCCAGTATAATCCTCTCTCACCCCTTAATTTTATTTTCCAGATATCACCCCTTCATCTTCAACTCACCCTGTGCCCTCTATCTATCTGCCTATACGTACATAAATTTTTTTCCCTCCCACTACCTTAATACTGACAAAGGACTCATGAGTTACAAATATCATCTTTCCCTGCAGAAATGTAAACAGTTCAACCTTAATAAGTCTCTTGTGATTTCTCTTTCCTGTTTACGTCTTCCATGTTTCACTTGAGTCTTGTATTTGAAAGTCCAATTTTCTGTTCAGCTCTGGTCTTTTCCTCAGGAATGCTTGAAAGTCCCCTATTTCATTGAATGACCATTTTTTACCCTGAAGGATTATACTCAGTTTTGCTGGGTAGGTGATTATTGGTTGTAGTCCTGTCTCTTTTGCCCTCCAGAATACCATACTCCATGCCCTCCAGACCCTTAATGTAGAAGCTGCTAAATCTTGTGTTATCCTGATTGTGTTTCCACAATACTTGAATTGTTTCTTTCTGGCTGCTTGCAATATTTTCTCCTTGACCTGGGAATTCTGCAATTTGGCTACAACATTCCTAGGCAATTGGGATTAAGTGACTTACCCAGAGTCACACAGCTAGTGAGTGTTATGTGTCTGAGGCCGGATTTAAACTCAGGTCCTCCTGACTTTAGGGCTGGTGCTCTATCCACTGTGCCACCTAGCTGTGCCACTTAGCTGCCCCCGTAGCTGCCCCAAGGACTTTGCTCTCTGAAAGAATACCTTTGAGTAATGTTTAAACACATTAGCATTGAGCTGCTGAAGGGCATGACAGAACTCCTGTATTATTTCAGGAGCTACTGTAGAGAAGGGAGGTATCCTTGCTGAAGACACTGAATATATTTTGGACCTCCTTTTGAGATGAATTGTTTTTAGAGTCACTGCATACTCAGATAAAGCCAAAACTATGCATCTGCCAGGTCAAAAGTTTGTTTTAAAGGTGCTAAGAAATATGCAGGAACAATGTGTTTGTAGAAAAAAATCAGCAAATTCTCCTAGTTCATCTTAGTCCCCTCATAGGTCCACAAGCTTTGAGAGGATAATAAATTGTGTTTTCTAGACAATAGGATCTGTATAGTCTACTGCTCCTTGAATGACAGTCATCAATACTTCTTCAACATTCTCTGCACCCTTATTGGCTATTACAGGGGTGGGGAACCTGCAGCCTTGAGGCCACATGTAGCCCTGTAGGTCCTCAAGTGTGGCCCTTTTACTGAACCAAAACATGGGCCACATGTGGCCTCAAGGCTGCAGCTTCCCCACCCCTGGCTATTACTTCACTCATTCTACTTCCTGTGACTGTCAGCAGGAAAGTGAAGTAACTCCTCCTCAACATTTGTTTTTCCAAAGTAGCAGATTGGTCATTTTCTTCTGCAGGGTAAAGCAACACTTCAAAAATGGCATGAAGTTAGGGCATGAACATTTGCTGTAAAAATGATGGCACAATGAATTCCAATGGTTCAGTATGTATGTACGTGTGTGCATGTGTGTGTGTGTGCGTATGTGTACGTGTGTGTGTATAGTTTGGGATCATTGAAAATATACAGTTTTCCAAAAGCAAGTCAGCCCTTTGCCTTCTTCCTTTTCAATCTGAAGCCCAAATTATAATTAATCTATAGTTCCTGTCCAAGATACTACACATGTACCAATGGGTGGGCTATTCAAATTCATTTCATAATCTGGTCAATACACGTTGATCTTCTTTCACTTGTTGTTTTTTTCTTGTATGGAGTTTCTAGGCCCCTTCCTCTGCTCCCCATATATATATGTGTGTACACACATATATACATACACACACATAAATACACATTTGAGTGACCATCAATCTCATTTGATAGGTACCACAATATTCTATGTTTTGAAACTTGGTGCAATGTCTCCCACAGACAGGAACATCTGGCATATCTCACTAACTATAAAGAATCCCTTGTCTTTTTGGCTGCTCAGATTTTCCATCTTCCATGAATGTTGTGAATAATTTCAGAGATCACACATTTTCCTGTTTTATACCTTGCAACTCGTAATCAGAAGTTCATTAAACAGTTATTTCTGTTGTTGCATCTACTAAGGAATATTGTCCAATCTTGATATTATGCATAGGAGACACCTTTGTTGGTATAAAGGCTTTGAGATTATCTTTTATTCTACCGACTCAAGTGCTTCTTTTGGTCATCAACAAACAATAAGCCCAGTAGTATTTTGTATTTTCTATACATTTTAGGCAGAAACAGCATAATGTTGCAGATTGTCTTTAGAGTTAACAAGTAAATAGACATTTATTAAACACTTACTATGTGCCAGGCACTGTGCTAAGCACAAGGGATACAAATACAAGCAAAAAGAAAGCTATTTCCTGTAACCTAGAATCTTATATTCTACTGAGGAAGACAACATGTGAAAGGGAGCATAAAAGGATGTGTGTGGAGGGGGAGAAGTATTCATGCAAGTGCATGAGTTCAGAGAATAAACAGTTGCTGGTCTGGGCCTTTCCTTAAAGTGAAGATTATGGGAGGAACTCACCAATGCAGAAAGGTTACACAGAGGTGGAGGGGAAAGACAACTGAACCAGAAGAACTAGTTTTAAATTCCATTGATGACTCTCATGATCTTTGTCACCTTGCTCAAGCCATTTAATCTCTCTCGGGTTGTTACCTTATCTGTAAAATGAAGATCCCTCTTATACTAAGTCAACACTCCTATCATCTCATGAACAGTATACAGAGGTAATCTACTGTAGAAAATTGTCTAAGAACATTTCCATGTTACTTCTTCATATTTTGATCATGGTTATTTCCTAGCTTACACAATCCATTCTTATAAAATGTTATTGAGATGAAAAAAATAAACATACGGATCTTGAGTCTTTTAAAAATACTTTGAAGGTAGGTAATAATGGTGTTTGTCGATGTTTTCCAATCTTATTTTTTTTTCCTTTTTTAGAGTATCTTGATTATTGACACCTTGATGTCTTAAAGTTGTGTTACCTTCAGTTTAGATTACATTTATATGTATCTGTTGAGTCCCAGCCACTTTTTCTCGCTTCACTTTCATAAGGGTCATTTCTTTTTCTTCGTTCTAGACCATGAGTGGTGAGCTGCTTAGGAGTACAGCCAGAACCAGATTAAAAAATAATTGGGAAATGTTTGACAATAATAAATTTTAAAATACATTACAACATACATAATGTTTATTTGTGGTTTGCTAAGTCAATATCCTTGTTAAGGATCTATTTCTATTTGAATTTGACACCAGTATCCTAGATCATTACCTACTGATATTAAGATTTCAATGAGATTGATTTGTTGTTAATTATGTTAATAGATGATAGCTAAGTGGTATAGTAGATAAGCACTGGGCTTGGAGTCAGAAAGACTCATCTTCCTGAGTTCAAGTCTGGCTTCAGACACTTACTAGCTGTGTGACAGTGGGCAAGTCACTTAACCCTGTTTGCCTCAGTTCCTCATCTATAAAATGAGCTGGAGAAGGAAATGGCAAAGCAGTATCTTTGCCAAAAATGAAACAAAACACGCAAACACACACATACACACACACTAACACGAAACACAAACCCACAAGCAAACCCAAAAAAATCCCAAAAAACATCCAAATGGTGTCATGAAGAGTCAGACATGACTGAAATGACTGAGCAATATATTAATACATCAGTATAGATAAACTGGCAAATCCTTTTCATTTTATGTTCATCTATTATCCTCTTTATAATTATGTGTATAAATAATCTTGAAATGATTTAGATCTTGTGCTTATTTTTCTGCAGGTTTTTCTTCCCTTCTACTGTTTGTCATTGTTTTCTATGGGGCAGAACTGTTCCTTTTTTCTTCCATTCTCCTC